CGCCTATATATATGCATAATTATTTATTATGTATATTTCAGGTCGGATTTAAACAGATGCACATATCTACAAAACACCCCTGCAAATATGGCTTAGCGTGTATAGGCATTTTTCTTATTAATCACTATCCAATATTAATTAGTTTCGATGGGACCTGAAAGAAGCTTATTTACATTTAAGTTAAGAACCGTGAGTTAAAATATGTTTTCGACACAAAAACTTCCACTCTTGTTACGCCAATCTTTCGGGAAAACTTTGAACAATTCTCGGTATGGAGTGCTATTTAATACAGAGAATACATATCTACATACATATCGCACACCGTCTTCAAAAGAGTCACAACTCACAATTTTGCATTTTTGAAATTATGCGCTAAAAGTGTACAATGTGCTTTTATTTGCCTTTCAGCAAAAGCTGGAGCAAATTTTTGTTATAATTTGTAAAAAAAACCCCAAGGTAAAGTCGCCCCTGCCCATATGATTATCATGTGCCAAGAAATAGTTTTTCGCGTTTTCTAACAAACGTTTTATTTTGAGTTGTGACTCTTTTGAAGACGGTGTGCGATATGTGTGTACATACTTATATGCGTATCGTGGTTCCTCAAAACCTCGCAACTGATATTTCGGCCAACAATGAAATTTGCTCTTCGGAAGCTTCTAACATCAAGCCTTATCCATTCATACCTATTTAAATATCGATATTTAGATATGAAAGGTAGAGATAATTCGGGATAAAAGAGAGAACCGTTTGGAAATAGCGAGGGAACTCTGGCTATAGCAAGACGAAAACGCTAGACCTCCAGCAGTCGACTAGAGAGTATCGCACAAAATGTCCAGCATTTATTTTCTGGATACCCAGGTATAGCGGCTATAAAGCATAAACCCCTTGGAAGACACATACATACAAACAAAACTAGCAGATATATCAGGATCTACTATAGGTGATTTCGGAAAATTCGTCAGGGAATCAAGATGGTTTGATCGAGAAATCCAGACATACGTAGATAATTAGCATTCCCACGAAATTGCGTCAAAATGGCGCAAAGCGTATCGAATGTAGAAGGTTACTATGAAATAGTAAAGCCAACCAACCAGCTGTCTCCTCTAAAATTTCTAAAATTTTTGCAACCTCAAATACGAGATGTGCATTATCTAGATACACAGTTTTGTACTTTAAACGACCATTCTTCTACTGGGAAGTAAATACGTATGTATATGATTGGGGTTGGTTAACAACAGCAGCACAACAAAGTCGCGTTGGCGTCAGGTGCATTTGGTTACATATTCGAAAGCCCTGATTGCTGTCTCTTCTGTTGCAACAAAGCTAAAATCAGCGACGACATTGACAACACATCCACAATAAAAGTTGGCGTCGTTAAAGATATTATTATTTGGTGCGGGATACTAACCTATTGTTGAGGGAAAATGAGAGTAAACAAACAACGAAAAGTGTATAACTTGTGCAAATACTTTTTAGGTGACGCTGGGATGTCAAAATACTCATATATACATACATACATACATATGTATTTACGTCGTGTACCTAGATGTGAACGAAGCCGACCTACATATGTACCCTGGATCTCGGAATGGACTTAGAGCACACCACAAACTAGACTGCAAGTGATTGTAAGTAGTCCCAAGTTGGGTCCAAGAACATGTAAAATTCTATTTACATTTAACATTGAATGTCCTAGGCTCGGACCAATTGTCCACTTCTGCATTACATTGTAACAAATTCCAGGGGGGGAAAAAAAAAACTTGCGCCAGCTGCGATTCGAACCGGGGTTCTCCGATTTTCTAAGCAGATACTTTCTCTACACGCCAATGCCGCACATGAAAATTCGTTGACTAAGTGCCTAAATATCAGTAAATCGTTAATCATACTTAACTAACTAATTTTAGAACAAAACTCATGCCATATGCATTACATTCGGACCACTTTTAGTACAGTTCACCTGTTTTACGTAAAACATTGCTTTAAATTTTTGGACTATCTTTGGTTTAGATACAAAAATACTATACTTACGACTATATTTTTCGAGCAACTGGACCAATCTTTTCTTCAGGGTATATAGTATGCAGAAAAGCCAAACGTTTCTAAATCTTTTGTGTTTAGCGAGTTGAAGAACGCTACTATAAATATATCGATGGTCCGCTGCAATAACGACAAAAGTCAAAATTAAAAAAATAAAAGCTTATACTACCATTAAGTGGTCAAGGCTCTAAACCTTGTGTAATCCCTACTACTTTTTTAGTAAAGATTAGACATTGATTTTGACACAACCTTATCTTCTTTATCCCTTCCTCTACTGACTATATTCCAGACCAAAATCAGACAGATCTGTAGTTGATCTAGCGGCGCATATACTCCACTGAAGACCTGTTCTGGTCTAATACATACTGCCGAATTCCGAGAATCTTCGCTGAATCCATACCGTGATACATATTTTAATAAATTCTCTTAATTCAAGTCCAACCCTGTTTTGATTGATTCCCATTTTGTAATACGTAATTCATTTAATCTATTAAGTAATTTGGTGGCAACCCTCTTCAAATACCTGAAAAAAATCTGATTGTCCCAACGAAAGATTTATTAAAACACCTTCGTTTGGCAATTTATCTTGTCTCTAATTTAATTAGATTCCGCTTTTCAAACACATGGTAAACTTTTTCATAACATTTTCAAATTACAACCTTCTACAGCTTCTATTGAATGAAGCCTATATTTTGGTATATATTTTAGATAAATTATTTCCGTAATTCAGGTCGAATTTGACTTTTTAAACAAAACATATAGCAACCCTTTTACATGTAGCTTAGAAACGAAGCATTTTCAATTGATCCCAATATTGTATTAATTCACTTAACTTATAAAATAATTTGAATTTAACTTTTTAAGCAGGTGGCAACCCTTAAAAGTACTTCCGGACTTCAACCTTCTTAAATCGCTTTCGTTATCCTCTCACCAGTACTCTTTCGCACATATGTACATACTTCCACGCTCAAGGCATGCGGTATGGAAAATTCAGATTGTTTGGTCCGTACCACGCCTATTGCGCTAAGTAAGTCCGTGAGTATGGAATTGATTTTATATATCGCCGTACCAAATACTTCCAGAGGAATGCAGTGTGAAAAAGTTAGCTTATATGGGAAGTGCCACACCCCCTTGTCTAATCGAGATCAAGGCTATCCTATATTTTAGGTTGGACTAAATGACACCAGCGTACAAAATGTAATGGGGATCGGTTGAGTAGATTAAGGGTGAAATTACAGTCGGTTATTTTAAATTTCGTTTGATTAAAATTTACTTGTTTCACACTCATATTCAGCGGATAATTTTGCTTTAGAAATGATGGCCAAGTGGCAGAGGTCAGAAACGTTTTTAATTTCTGTAAACTTTCAAAAATTTTTTTTCGAGAAACTACAGGCATATCCTATATGTACATACATACATACGTGATATTGGGCCGTATGAATAAAAACTAAACATTATGTCTTTCTTAAAATTTCATACCGTTTACTTCAATTTTGTTGGATTAAATCGAGTAAAAGTCTGAAATTTTAAAGCAATTGCTTATTTTTTAACCGACTTCCAAAAAAGGAGGAGGTTATCAGTTCGTCGGAATATTTTTTATTTTTTATTATTTTTTTTATGTATGTTACCGCATAACTTTGCACCACGTCCACCGATTTCAATAATTCTTTTTGCAACGGAAAGGTAGTGTAGTTTAGATCCAATTATTGGATCATGAAATATATAGATATGTATATATTTTTTTTAAGTCGGTTTTTTTTTTGCTAAAAATTACTAGTTTTAAATAGATACTACACATTGCATGTGACGTATGCGAGATGTCGTGCGCCAATCGACGATATGCACATACATACATACGTATGTATGTGTTTGGATAATAGATAGATTTGTTGAACTATTTATTTATTTGCGCTCGCAGTTTTAGAGCCATTAGAAGTGTTAAAGCAAATGAATAGTGCAAAGTAATGACTAACCATGATTAAAATCGACTCAAAAAAAAAAAAAGATGCACGTACCCACTAGGGAGAGAAACTAGTTTAAATATAAATGTTTAAGCAGTTTTTTACCCACCACAACTAATTGAAGATCTGATTTTCTTCCTTGAAACGAACTGTTTACCTCAACATGGCGATGTCCTAGGAAGCAGTCAACTATCCGACTCTGCATTTGATTTCAACTTCAAGCACTTCAAAGTCGTTATGTTCCTTTTGCAGATGTCTTTTCAACCAATTTAAAATTACTTGGTATTAACTGCCGAAACAGTTAGGTAATTGCCCAAAGTTAGATGATTTTTCAACTAATATTGGAGAATGTATGTATTTCAAGTAGGCTGCAAGGTGATTATACACCAATTTGAAGTTAGTTGCTAACTAAGCAGAAATAAATTACTTTTTTTGAGGTAGTTGGTCGAGCCATGCGGTAATGGGTATTTAAACATTTTGTATATACAAACGTATGTATGTATGTATCTACATATGTACGCTCATACACTGCATCTCCATACTTATATATGTACATATGTACATATTAGGGTGACTTTTTTTAAGCAGTGCTTAAATTTTTAATTTGTTTTAGTGGGCTACGATACACTTTGCTACCAGCGAATGTAAACACGAGAATTCGGTTGCAATAATATAAAACCCATACAAATTTTTCATTCTCGGAACGGGGCAAAAATTCAATATCTAAGATTCTGATGAAAATCTTAAAGGATGTAAATGGAAATATCAAGGCCCCTTTGGCCGTCTTTTGAATACGATAGTTGTAAATAAAAACACAGTTTTTAATGTCCGCGTATTCTTTTTTTAGTTTAGGATACTTTTATAAATTTGTTAGAAAATTGAATTGTTAAGCAAATTTGAGGCTTTTTAATGCGATTTTTTTTTAATATGCAGTAGCTCATGCAAGTTTAGTATATTAAAGTGCAAGTTTGAAGTA